TGCATGTGGATGAGAATGGGTTCCAGAAGTGCTCATGTTGCTAGTTCCTGATAGTCTGGGCTTGGCTGCATTTCATTCCCCCTACAGTTTGGTTATTCAGTCCATCCTTGAATTCTAGGAGCTAAGAGATAACGGTTTTGCCTGAACTGGGCTAGATTGAGATTCTTCTCACTTAGGACTGAAAGAGTCAAAGGCCTATGCATGGTGGTCTTATGAGCCTTGTTGGAGACGGAGAAATAATTCTGGGGCTGGGGGAGGAGGGGAAGCAACTAGGCAGTCCAGGGGTGGTGGAGGGGGTGGGGAGAGAGCCACTCAGGGCTGAGGCTCTCGGGAGAAGTATGATGGGGCAGGCAGGAGGTGACAGCATGGCCCCTCTGCCAGGGGACTCTGACAGCTGCTGGTGAATTTGTCACCTCACCCAAGAGAAAGGTGTGATACCCCTTTCCTCCTTCCTTCTTTTTAGCCTCTGCCCCAGCCAGGCTGTGTTGCACGACCTGGTGTCTGTGATGCTGTCAGTATGATCTGGGGTCCCTTGGGGTCACTCCTCCCACTCTCCAGCATGGCCAGGGGTTGGCTCCGCCTTCCCTTCTTTCTCTGGTTCTGTCCCATCTGTTGCCCTGGCGGGGGCCAGTGACTCCCTTCCTGACCCAGGCCTAAAAGGGCTCCGCAGACGGAAGCTAGAGACCAGAGAATAGTCTGTCCAGGTAGATACAAGCTTTGGGGCTGACCAGACCCGTCCGATCCTGGGACTCCTGGGGGATGTGCCCCTCTGCAGTGCTTCTTCATTCTAGCTGGGGAGCAGAGAGGGCAAGGTCAGGGCCCAGCCATCTGAAGGATTGTTCAGTCAGAGTCCTGGCAGGAGATGGACAGCCTGCCCACGAGCGAGTGCAGGGCTGTTGATGGAGTGCTAAGCAGGATGGGGAAATCAGTAGTGCTGATGCAGATGTGGGAGCCTTGGCCACCTCTAGGTCTGCAGGGACAAGGGGAGGGACTGATGCAGGCCAGCGTATGTGAGCTGGGTCTTTAGAAGAGGGGGCCGGCAACCATGGTGCCCAGGTTGGGGGGCGGCAATTGCTTACCCGGATTCTCACCTGCCCCACACCAGGGTAGAGAGTGACTCCAGAGAGGCAAATGGAGACCTCCAGCCGACATGGGCAGCACAGGCAAGACGCTGAGGCCGGTGGGTGGAGCTGGGTGTTTCTCCAGAAAGGGCCGTGGTGAGCAGCGCTGCCAACCAAGCGCGTCACTTGTCCCTGCCGCGAAGACTCTGGAAAAGCTGACCACATCGGTAATTACAGAAGCCGGAGGTGGCAAGACCTCATAGCATCTCTGACTTCATCTTCTTGTCAGGGCAGGAGAAGGTCTCCCAGGAGGAGGAGGTGACATCTGAAGTTAGTCAGAGGCCGAGAGGAATCCGGCTCACTCTGCTCTTCAAACCAGTGCCGGCTGCTTTGAAAACATGGCAGGTCCCCTTTTACTGGCTTGTGGTCTTCATGTTTTTAAAAGTCATCGGAGGGAAGTGTGTTTTAATAGAGAGGACATATTTTCACCGGACTTTTCTGAGATTGATGATGCAATTAGAGCAGACAAAGAGGATAAAATATTAGGTTTATAAACTAGGATGTACACTGATGTTTATACTCTTTGGCAGGCAGAGATCTATAAATAATTCTTTCTGCCTTAAACTCAATGTAGTGTTTTGCTCTTTGTGTTAATAGCAGCATCTCCTCCCCAAAGGCCATTTCTGCGTTTGACATAAATCACAGTGCGAGGAGAGGCTCATGAATTGAGCACCTTGGATGTATCTGGGGAAGAGAGATATCCTCCGAGTGGATTAGCGTAGGTGCCCTTTGGTGCTCTGGCTATTAGGGTTGAGCTCCCAGGTTTCAAATGGGAGGGGATAAGACCTAGCACCCTCTCTGGTTGGAGGGAGCTCCCTTACTGATGGAGGTCATGGGGGCATTCCTTGCATGTGGTTTTCTCTCTTTTCATTGGAGTCTTTGGCTGCCATTTCCCGAGCCAGCGCTAATTGTAAAATTCTGGGCTGTTGGCCCAACCTCTTATTTGCTGCTTATGTTTTCCGGTCGCAGCTGATTTCAGCAGCTTTTGCCCACTACCTGGGCAAGGGTGTTCCCATAGCAGTGGGTTCCCGGGTGGTCCCCTGCCTCGGGTGGTGTGATCTGCCTGAGCTCTGCCCACCCAGCTGAGCCACCATGGTGCCTTCTCCCTGTAGGAGGCCTCTCGGGGGTCACTGTGGAGACATGGCCTGTCACTCCAGGTGACTTAATCAGTGTGGAAAGCCCAGCTGGAAGCCTTCTGTTGGTTTTCTGCCTCCCAACACAAATGCTCTTCAAGTGGTGGTGACCTGACATGGACTCTCAAAGAAAGGCCTTTTGATCCTGGGCTGGGGATGCCTGTCCCCGCGTGCTCCCGGCTGCCTCCCTGTGGAACCGTGGCGCCCAGCTGCCCAGCCGGGCCTCTGCTGGGAGGCAGCTGACCTGAAAGTGATGTTATTTTTTTAACGTGGGTTTTAGTACCCAGAGCAATAATATTTTCAGCTGGTTATTGAGGCTGATTAATGAGCTTCAAGCCTCCATTTGGTTAAATAGAGCCGCCTTCACAGATGTATTTTGGGACAGTGCAAATCCAGGGTTCTGCATGGGATTGAGTTACCCCAAAAGGTGGTCGGCCATTTGCCCGGGGCCTGGGCCCTGCAAAGCAGTCTGGGTAGATTCCCATGGTGCCAGACCACTAGGCGGGTTTCCAGCGCCAGGACACTAGGTGCTTCTCTCATCCTGGAAAAAGGGTGGTCAATTGTGCTCTAGAACTCTCACCCCCTCTGGAGACATAGCTCCCAGCCCTCTCACGTGCTCGCGTGACTGTATTTGAACTGGTTTTTTGTGCTCTCAGAGCCTCAGTTTCCTTATCTGTTAATAGGGAATAATAATACCTACCTTGAGGGTGAGCCTATAACCTACTCCATACTGTGTTGGGTGTGCACATGTGCGTATGAGTTTGGGGGGATTTTTCGGAAGCATCGGGGGAGAAAATAACAGGAAAAACTCAAGGGGGAAGAGCCACCTTCTCTCCTTAAATAGTCTCAGGAAATTGCATCAATCAAATCAATTCAACAAGAAGCCGTCAGTCCCACAAGGCTAGTCTTCGTGGTGTGGAGGCATTGTGGAGGGCGACGCACTGAGGCGGGCAGCCCATGGAAGGAAGTCAGGAGGCTTGTGTCCCCCCGCCCCAGCCCCGTAGCTCTACCACTACCAGCTGTGTGATATTGGACCCGGTCCTTGGCTTGTCTGAGCCTTGGTGTCCAGCTCTGTAAAGTGAGGGGGTTGGATTCTTTCCAGAATTACTCTCCCATAGCCCTGTGATCCAAATGATTGAAGTGTTAACATTTCTTCCTTGGAGAAAAATCACTGAGTCTTGATTCTCTATTAGAAGAGAAATTGTAACACAGGAAAAACTTACTCGTGTTGGAGGGAAATGTGTGGCTGCATCTGTGGGCACTCCATGTGCTGCCTCTGCTTCCCCCTTTTCTGGAGGGGCTTCTGGACTGGCCTGCGGGGAGGGATTGGACCCTAGACACTGGGTTGTGGGGTTGCCGTGAACTGGGCCAGGAGGGCCGGGGCGCCTAACTCCATGGTGTTTCAGTTTGTGTTGATGTCATTTCCTGTCTCTTTTGAAATAGCTGTACTTTTGGACCGAGGTTGACAAATCCTTGGGTGGTGGATTTTGAAATGGTTATAAACAATTTGCAATTAGTTCTCTTGTCTAAATGAGAAAGGCAGGCTTACCCAGGCTTCTTGTTAACTTGAGGCCTTTTATCCTCTGGCAAGTGCGTCAGATGTGAGTGAAGGAGCCCCTCTTGAGGTCAAGGAAAATAAAAAGGTTTGTCTTTTGGAGGTCCCGCTGACTTGGCCAGCGATCTGGAGTCCTAAATTCCTTGGAGTTGTTGAGAAAGAGCTCCGGTTTGGAGATGGAGGCCTCAGCCCTGCCATCTCCTCTGCATGACTCTGGCCAAGTCTGCTGAACATCCTGCTCTTCATATGCAGATGAAGGGGTGTGGTGGGAGACCCTACCCTCCCACATCACTGCCTGCGCTTTTTTGAGGTTCAGATAAGAACATCTGAAAAGGGGGGCGCCTGGGTGGCTCAGTCGCTTAAGCGTCTGCCTTCGGCTCAGGTCATGATCCCGGGGTCCTGGATCAAGCCCTGCATCGGGCTCCCTGCTCAGCGGGGAGTCTGCTTCTCCCTCTCCTTCTGTGTGCATGTGTGCCCTCTGAACATCTGAAAAATCTCTGTATGTTCATTTTATAAGCTGAAAAGCTGCAAAAGGTAAGGCATCCGTATTAGCATTTTCTTTTGCAAGGCATAATAATGACAATGGTGATAATTACGGCAAGTGTTCCTTGAGTATTATGACGTGCCTGGCTCTGGGCTGAGAGCTTTGTCCCATTCTGTCTGCACAGTTGCCCTGTAGTGGTGCTTTTTCAATCTGCATTTTATGGAGGTGAAGGAAATCGTCTAAGGTCATGCAGCTGTAAGGTCTGAGTGACCTGAGGCAGCCTCTCGGGGACCTTCCAGTTTGGTGGCTCGTTATTTTCCAGTGGCTTCCTGTGATTTATCTGAGTCGGTGGTTCTCAACCCCAGCTGCCCAGAGCCCTGCCCTCCTGGCCAGAGGGTCAGAGTCTGTTGGTGTGGGGTGGGGCCTGGTACCAGTGTTTGCTCCTGGTGACCCTAACGTGCAGCCCGAGAGGACAGCACCTGTTCTAATAAGCACGTGTCCGTGGATGGTGCAGAGTAGGCTGGGCTGGATGTCAGGGCTCCTTGGCCAGGTCTTCTCCCCAGTCTGGGCCTCAGCTTCCTGCTCTGTGGGGGGAGGGAGTGGTCACCTGACCTCCATGGTGTCTTCTCCAGGGGCCGAGAAGCTTATGTAACTAGAAGCAGCTCAGGAGCAGATCTGTTATTGTTCTTTTCCTTTTTCTGTTTCAGGCAGAATATGAAGTTACTCCAGATGAAAAGCTGGGGGAAAAAGGGAAGGAAATTATGACCAAGTACCTCACCCCAAAGGTAAGAGGCCGCCCAAACCCCACAGTAGGAGGAATAGGAGGCCTTCTAGAAGAATCTGGGCCCCAGATCCCAGCCAGGCCATGTGGGGAGCTGTGACGCACCCAGCTGGTGGCAGCTGTTGGTCTCCAGAGATCCAGCATTCTCACCTCCCTCAGAGAGTGCCCGAGACTGGCAAGGCCAAGGCAGGTGGGCCAGGCCAGGCCCGGGGTGGGGTGGGGAGGCCTGCTTCCTGGAGCCCAGTCCCCTCCAGGGGCCTTATGCTGCCACGGCCAACACCCAAGTGTTTGTAGCTGGACCAGTGGCGGCCTGGCCCAGAAGAAAGGGCACAGCAGGGGTAGTTTGGAGAGGTTGGTGTGGAGGGGAAGGATCGGGGGTGATCAAGAGGGAAATAAAGTGGCTGAGGCTGGTAGAGGCAACATGGGTTGAATACACACAGAATGTAGAGTGTCCTGAAGTATGTTCTGCTGTCTGTTGAAGGGAGAGGGGCCATGAGGCCCCGACTTCAGGAGCACACCCACCCCAGTGCTGAAGGCAGAGAGTTAGCACCAACCCCTGGGGTCCTGGTGGCCTTGGTTCCCTGGAACCTGTTCCTTCTCATCCCCAGCTTGACAGATAAACGTGGTCTCCATCTAGTTTACAGCTTGGCCTGGGAGCCTGGGGTTCTAGTCCCAGCTGTTCTACCCACACAATTAAGTCATGTTCCCTCCCTGCGCCTCAGTTTCTGTTTCTTAAAAGTGGTCCTCCTTGCCAGACCCATCTCCTAGAAGCCTTAGGAGCCTGAGATGTGACCTGCATCCCAACAGTTCTGGGTGTGTCCTGTACCCTTGTGGGCCAGCAGTGGCTCCATCCTCATCCAGGATCTGGATGCTGCCTCTCTCCCAGGCTGCCAGGGGACTGGGGCTACCAGAGCCATTGTGACAGGGCCCTGTTGGTCCGTCCCCACAGAGAATGGCAGGGAGTGGCAACACACAGGCATGCGGGTCAGGAAATGGCTTCACCCCTAATTTGCCATGGGACCTTGGTCTTCCTCTCCCCAGGACTCGGTGTTCTTTGCTGTAAAATGGGTGAGGCTTGACCAGATAATGTCACAGGGTCCCTGTAAACCGGACCATCACAGACTCCATTCTCTCCAAGCCTACACTGAGGGAAGGACGAGTCCTGAGATAAGAACCAAACAATGAGAAAGATGAGAGATGCTTCAGTCAGAGAGAGAGGTGTTGCCACCGAGGTGTAGAGACTCCCTGGATGTGACATTGGGCCCCTGGAAAAAAGGCAGCCCCTGCCTTGCCGGCCTGCCTTCTTGGGGGTGCTGTCCCCTGGCGGGGGTCCCTTCACAGCTTCACTAAAGCAGAATGCAGTTGCAGAGGTCTACTGCAGCTGCTCTGGAGGATTCCCCTCAGGAGACAGGATTGTGGACACAAGGAATCCGGGTCCCATACAGCAGCTCCTGCAGCCCTAGGTGGGCTTCTGACAGCCTGTGGCCCCCTGGCAAGGGCATCCAGGGTGACCCGAGGCCTTTACACTCACAGAAGCTCCTTCAGAGTTTAAAATCAGGCCTCCTCTGCCCTGCGCATACAGACCATCTCCGCAGGTTTTTATACATTTTATCGACGTGACATGGAAGTCCCTTGAGGCCTGTAACTCCTACCCTGATGTTCTCAACAAGCGTCCCAGGAGGTCCTTGGTAGTTCTGGTCCCCCCCCCCCAACACACCCTCGTTGCCCCCTCAGGGGTTCTGGAGGGCCAGGGGGCCCCAAGCGTGTGGGGTTGTCCCACCTCCCGGGGGTCTCTCGTACCACACTGGGTCCTGTTCTGGAGCAGGGCTGCTCATCTCCAGCATCTGCGGGCAGCCAGGGGCATCTCTGTGCAGTCAGTTCAGCCTCACACCCAGAGAGGTCTCCTGTGTCACTTCTTCCGGCTCCCGCCAGGCCACCACCCTGACTTATCATTCTCTCGCTGCTTCCCCTTGCTGTCTCTCTGCTTCTGCTTTCTTCGTAAGCGTACGCTTCTCTCCACGTGATGGGCAAGCACTCCCAGTCCTTCTGCACATGGCAGAAACGAGAGGATTCACGTTCATAAAAGCCCCAGACGCTGGGCAGGGCCAGCTTGCTCTGCACAGGCGCGGCCCTGGGCACACGTGGCTGCCCGCTCCGTCCATGCGGCCATGGGGCCTTCGGGCAGCTGTGCCTTGTTGTTCCAGATACAGGCCTTGTTGGCATCTCTGAAAGTTCTCAGGTTGAAAATGGTCAAGGAGGAGACGTGTGAGCAGGGTCCCCGTTTCCCCGCACTCGCAGCCGCTGTCATGTTGCTTTTGATCTCCTGGCCACCGCTTGAGACAGCGTGAACCCCCCGGGGCAGAACCAGGACCCAGAGCTCAGAGGAGGCATGGCCCTGAGGGTGTAAATACCCCAGGGTGGGTGAGAACAACAGCTCACCGGCTCAGCGCCTACGGGCTGCCAGACACCTCCTAGGCGTCACCCGTGATGGCCGCAGGCTCCGTGAGGTGGCTGCCAGGGCCAGGTGGGGCGGGTAACGTGCTCTGGCCACTCAGCTAACAGAATCTTCAGCTGCGCTCAACAAAGGCGATTTCCACGGTGCCTCCGCTTTGCCGGCCCAGCTCTCCATCTGCACCCGGTTGGCGCTGCCCACCCGCTTGTGTTCCCCCCAGACAGTGGCAGCTAACGTGTTTTGAGGACCCACTGTGTGCAGACACTCTCTCCGCTAGTCCTTGCTGCTATCACATGTTGGGATTCCATTGGCTCCATCTTATGGATGAGCACGGGGAGGCTCCGGAGGGACTGTCACTGTCCCAGGTGATGCAGCCGGGACTTGAGCCCCCCACCCCCAACTGTGGTGCCCTGTTTCCCACATCTGGTCCCTCACTGCCCTTTTGCTGCCCCTGCCCCGGCTGTGGTCTACAGTGAGGATGAAGTGGTTCCTTTGTCCAGCCTTATCGGCTCCTTCGGCCCATCCAGGGGCTGCTGCAGGGGCTGTTCCATTCTCTCCCTGCCTGGCCAGCCTCATCCGAAAGCCCCTGCTGGCAGACCCCATCCTGCTCTCCGGACCCCCTGCCCTGCTCAGTGCTGCCTCCATCTCCTAGAGGGATGGGGCCCAGACTCCTCATCAGCCCAGACGGTTTTACAAGTGCCTCTGAGCCTGCCAACATTTTTCCTTAAGTACTCCTCAATTATAAAAATTTAAACCACACCATATGTTGTGGCCCAGGGGCCTAGGGGAGGTGGTCAAAGCAGCCCCGTGGGGCGACTGTTTTCCTACAATAAATTTCGCACTGCCTCCCAGTCCTTCCTGTAGACAGTCTCTCGGGAGCTGTTTTCACTTCTCAGTGCTGCAGATGCCCCAGGGGCTGGGGAGCCAGGGGCTGGGAGAGAGGGGTCGAGCTAGTGGCTGAGGCCCCAGTGTTGGCCCTGAGGTCTTTGAAGAACTCCCAGAGCCATTGTCCCCAAACCCAGATCGTCCTTACCTTGAGCCCTTCTTGAAGTTGTAGGCCCTGGGTCTCAGCTCCACGCAGCATTTCCAAAGGGTAGGCTGAAGGACACCGATCATTTGGGAGGCTCTGTAGTCAGTTACCTGTGGGTGATACTACATGTATCTTCCGCTTGTAAAGATTCACCTGGCATGTGAGCATATCGAAGGCTCTGAGAAGTCCTGCAATAAAGAAACCTGTTTGCAGACAAAGCATTTCCCAAACTTATTTGACCATAAAACCTGTGCCCCCCAATTTTACATCCTGCTGGATACATCTGTCGCTGCAGAAGACATCCAAAGGTCTTCATGACCTGGTTTCCTTCTGCTTCAAAATCCTTTCTCCTGATACCTCTCCCACAAGCCTCCCACTGGGCTCTGGCCATGTCATTTCCAGTCTCATCTCGACCACACCTCGTAGCCTTTGTTCAGACTGTGCCTGCAGGGCCCTTCACCTAGACCCCTGCTCTGTTTTTTTTCCCTTTTGTGTCCCTCAGCCTGACACCTGGGCTGCACACAGCCCCTTGCCTCTGGCCACCTACCTGGGTGGTCTCTGAGCGCGACGCACTGTATACTCATGCAGGTACACACGGTCAACGCTCCAGGCCCCCGGGGGTACTGAGGAGCCCTGCTTGCAGAGCTGGTGACAGCACATCCGGGGACCAGCCCGCTGCAGTGTGGCAGGAGCCGTGGCAGCACTTTGCAAAGGGAAGCTGCCCCTACACCAGCCTGAGTAGCCAGGGAGGCGTCTGGGAGGTGACGCAGCTGAATCAGATGTTAACGTGAGGAGGAGGAGGCCAGATACGAATGAAAGGAAAGAAGGGCCTTTCATGGGCAAAGGTACAGAGCAGTGGTTCTCACCTGGGGACGTCTTCCGCCCCGGGAGACAGTCGGCAGTGTCTGGAGATAGCTTTGATTGGCACAGTTGGGAGGATGTGCTGTGGCATCTAATGGGTAGGGGCCAGGGATGCTGTTGAACACCTTCCGATGCACGGGACGGCCCCAGAACAAAGAATTCTCTGACACTAAGTGTCAGTGGCGCCGAAGTTGAGAAACCCTGCCGTGGAGGCGGGAGAGGGTGTGCGGTGGTCAGTATAGCAGGAGTGGAAAGATAGGGGGATGAGGGCTCTCTGGGCGGCCTGGCAAACCGTGCGGAGGAGTTTGACACCATCCCGGCGGCTGCGGGGGCCACGAGGGCTTCGCAGGCCCTTTGCAGTTCAGGCTGGTCCCTCTGACCACATGGGGGTGAGAAGGGGACGGGACCAGAAGACCATCTAGGGGGCTGCTGCAGGTGCTGTGGGAGTGACTGTGCCCCATGCTGGGACAGTGGCCCTAGGGATGTGGTGGCACAAGAGTCTTGGGAAATGTTAGGAGGAAGGAGCTCTTAGGGGATGGCCAGGTGTGGGGCATGAAGGAGAACGGGCAGAAGGAGTCCCAGGTGACTCCCTGGTTTTCATCTTGAGTTACTGAGTGGCTGCCCCCCCCCCCCCGGAAAGACGGAGAGACGGAGCACATAG